ATACACACTTAGGTTATGCTCCTTCCTACTGTGGCCATATTTTTAATTTAATGTAGGGTTAGATTCATTTATTTGCTTATTTTTAATTTCAGTTTTCCCCGTCTTGATGATTCTCTTTTAATATAAAGTATTTGCCTAGTTTCAGAGGTGCACTGTTCTCCTCCTGGTTGGCACCCACCCCGTTTGCCTCCTGTGTGCCTCTCCGCAGAGAAGCAGGTGCACGCCTGTATCTTCAAGCATGCTTCTTTCCCGCCTAAGAGGCAGCTTGCTGAGCACTCAGGTCCACGAGTTGCCTTGCTCCTTGCGCTTGGTGGTGTGGTCTGGACTGTGACCCTGCCCTGGGTCCCGGAGGTCTCCCTCCTTGTTTCACTGAGGCACAGCACTTTGTTGGTCGGATGTGCCACAGTGGATTCCATCTCCACGAGAGCATTTCCTGCTTCTCCAATTACAAATCATACTGCAGTGAGTTTGCTTGTGCATCTGATTTTCCACCGGATCAGAGGGATGCCTTCAGGATGAATTCCTAGAGGTAAAGGATTGATTCACATGGGGCTGTGTTAGGTATTGCCACATCCCCTGCTCAGAGTCACACTGTTCTGCACTCCCACCTTCTCCCAGTCTCACCTGAAGATCTTGGGAAGCTTTTGATCTTCTGACTGCTTAGTTTTCACCTGCATTTATCTAATTTTGAAAGAGGGAGGTCTTTAAATTTATTATCTATTTATTTAAGACAGGGTCTCACTGTGTTGTCCTGGTGGCCTCGAACCTCTGGAATCAAGCCACACCCCTGCCTCCATGTCCTAAGTAAGGGAATGCAGCACTTGTGTGACACTGTCCCTGGCTTAACTCAATGCCTTTTTAAAGAGGTGACAAAAGCCAACAAATCCCAGCATCTCGGGAGGCTGAAGCAGGAGGATCATGAGTTCAAAGACAGTCTCAGAAATGTCGAGGCACTAAGCAATTCAGTGAGACCCTATCTCTAAATAAAATACAAAATAGGGCTGGGGGTATGGCTCAGTGCCCCTGAGTTCAATTCCTGGTATAGCCCCCGCCTAAAAAAAAGAGGTGACAAACACTAGGCACAGTGGTGCACACCTGTAGTCAAGGTGACTTGGAACCCTGTGCAGTGGCTCAGGCCTGTAATCCCAGCAGCTTGGGAGGCTGAGGCAGGAAGATCACAAGTTCAAGGCCAGCCTTGGCAACTTTGTGAGACCCTAAGGAACTGAGGGAGACCCTGTCTCTAAATAAAAAATAAAAAGGGCTGGGGACCTGGCTCCCAGGTTAAGTGCCCCAGGTTCAATTCCTAATACCGAAGCAAGCAAACCAACAAAAACAGAGGTGACAAACTGGAGGAAGGCACTCAGGAAACTGGGAGAGGCATATTCCGGGGGCAGGAACAGCACAGGTGGAGGCCCTGAGGCAGAAACTAGCTTGATGCACTCGAGGAAGAGGGGAGAGCAAGGGAGTAGGTGGCTTAGGCAGAGGGACGGGAGGGCTTCTCAGGGATGAGGTTGGTGGGGACCAGGCAGTGCAGGTGTCAGTGTCTACAAGGTCACCCAGATTTTTCTCTAAAGGGTCAGATCACAAAGATTTTCATTTTTGCTGTCTGCCTGTCGCGATACTCTGCTCTCCACAGCAGTAGAAAGCAGTCAGCAATATATCAACAAATGGGTGTGGCAGTGAGCCAAGAAATTTATGTTTATAGGGACAGAAATTTGAAATTCATAGACTCTTCAAATTTGAGATTTAATTCACAACATACAGTTCATGTAATGTGCATCATAGGCTTTTTGGTAGATTCACAAAGCTGTGCCGCCATCTCCTTAGCTAATGTCACAACACTTCATCACCATCAAGAAATCGCACCCTCGTTAACAGCCAGTCATGGTCGCCCTCCCTCCTAGGCCCTGGCAGCCACTGATCTACTTCCTGTCTCTGTGCAGTTGCCTGTTCTCAGTAGGAACGGGGTCACATGGTGTGTGGTCTTTAGCATCTGGCTCCTCTCTTGGACCAGTTTCCCGTGCATTCCCGTGGTAGCCTAGGTCGGCACCCATCCCCTTTGCAGGCCAGATCACATTCCTTCTGTCGATGGCCCACGGTTTGTTTATCCATTCATCAGCTGGTGGACATTCAGGCTGTTTGCACTTTTTGGCTACTGGGGAACGCTGCTACAAACATTTGTGTACAATTTTTTTTGGGAGAACATATGTTCTCGATTCCCTTGGGTATATACCTAGGAGTGGAATTGCTGGGTCATATGGTAATTCTATCTTTAACTTTTTGAAGAACTGCCAAAAGAAATCCATATACTTTCTGCATGCTACAAAATATCATTCTTCTTTTGACTTGTTTTTCAGCCGTTTATTATGTAAAAGCTGTTCAGAAACAAGAGGTGCACTGGATGTAGTCTATGGGTCATGGTTTACAGATCCCTCTTAGAGGCAATGAAAGGAGTTTGGATGCTGGGAGTGACAGTCACACAATGCTTATTTGTAGGACTCTGAGGGAAGACGCTGATAAGGCTGCGTTAGATGGATTTAGGGCAAGAAATGGTATGGCCTCCTTAAGTCACCCAGGTCTGGCTGCTGTGAAAAGCAGAGTTCATATTAGGAAAGTGATATTTGCCTTTTGAAATTCTCAAGCCAGACTTCTCCACACGCTCCATGTGCCTGTTTCTTCCGCTGTAAGTGGTGATAAAATGTGTCTACTTCAAAGGATTGTTTTGAGTTTTGAATGAGTTACTTTCTATTTAATGCTGAGAACAGCATCTAGCACAGACCAAGACCCACATAAGTAGCTACTAGTATCAATGATGCTGTCACTTCTTTCCAGCTCAGGCCTCGTTCTCTTCCCCATAGAATATCACAACTCCAGTGACTCTCTGCCCATCTGCTCCCAACACCAAAGCCCTGAAAGGGTCTTCTAACACTGATCTGGCTGTGTCCTTCCTCTGCCCCAAGCTGCCATGGCTCCCCAGTACCCCTGGCATCATGCTCAGCTCCTCAGCCTGGCATTCAAGGCCTATCAGGACCTTGTCCCTGCTCCCTTCTCTAGCCTCAATTCTGTGGCTGTTGCCCATGTTGTAGGATAGACTAGCTCGGTGTGCCCCCCATCAAATCTTGCCCATGCTGTTCCCACTGCCAGGAAATGGTTGGGGCTCATCCTTTAGGACTTGGACAAAGGAAATTTTCCTGGATTTCCCTTGGTCCAGCCCCAGGTGGCCTTGGGCCTCTTCTGGACCCACAGAGCTCAGTGCCTCATGCCTCATAGCTCATATCACCCTGCTTGTGATTGTTGGTTGGTGTCCATCTTTAGCTTTCCCAGCTGCACTGAGAGTCTGGGTGGCAGGTTCGGGATAGGGTGAAGAGGAGGTTGTTGGTTCCTCTTCAGACTCCCTGCACCTAATCTAGGTCCAGCCCAGGGGGTCCTGGACATGGCAGGGAGGGAAGGCGGTGCTGTGGGGCTGGGGTTCCACTTCCTCATGCACGAGGGCACCTGCTCTGCTCCCCCTAGGCCTCTCCTTGGTGGTGGGCTTGGTCCTTTACATCTCCAGCATCAACGACGAGGTCATGAACAGGCCCAGCAGCTCCGAGCAGTACTTCCATTACCGCTATGGGTGGTCTTTTGCCTTCGCGGCTTCCTCTTTCCTGCTCAAAGAGGTGATGTCGGTGGGGCCCAGACTCTAGGGTCAAGGAGGGAGGGTATAGGGGCCTGATTCCTGGGCCCAGGAGGACGAGGAGGCTGGGATGTAGGCTCTGGGTTATGAGGGAGATGGTGGGACTGGGGGGGGTCTAACCCCTGGGTCCTGGAGAGGAGGGATCTGGGAACTCCAGCTCCTGGGGTCCTGGTGAGGAATGGGGACTGGTTCTCCCGGGTCTGGAAGAAGGGGGTGCCTGAGGGCTTGAGCTCCACGGGCTTGGGGGAAGAGCGGACTGGAGCCTTGACTGTTGGGTTCTGCGAGAGGAAGGGACTGGGAGCGCCTCTGGACTCTGACGGTGCCTTGCCGCAGGGGGCCGGCGTGATGTCGGTGTACCTGTTCACCAAGCGCTACGCGGAGGAGGAGATGTACCGCCCGCACCCCGCCTTCTACCGTCCGCGTCTCAGCGACTGCTCCGACTACTCGGGCCAGTTTCTGCAACCCGAGGCGTGGCGCCGGGGCCGCAGCCCTTCGGACATCTCCAGCGACGTCTCTATCCAGATGACGCAGAACTACCCTCCCGCCATCAAGTACCCCGACCACCTGCACATCTCCACCTCGCCCTGCTGAGGCGCGGCTGCTCGGAGCATCCCCTCGCCCCTTGCCCTACCCCTCCCCGCGGGCCGCCCTGGACCGCAGCCCCGGCCAGGGGTACTCCGGCCAGAGTAAGCTGCTCCACCTTTAGGCCCCGCCCCGCCACCCTCCCTCTCTTCCATGGCTCCTCCCACTTTCCCGACCTCTCCCCTTCATTGGTTCCTTCCACTTGAAAATGACCCCGCCCTCCGGTCTCCAGCCGCATAGGCCACGCCCAGACAGTTAGCCCCGCCCCTTCACCCGGTCAGCGAGCCCAGCATCCCGAGCCCGGCCTGAGCCGCTTCTCTGCAGGGGCGCTGGGCTGGAGAGTGGGTTCGGCAGCCGCCAGGAATGCCGATCATCTTCTCCCCTGCGCCCCGACTCCTCTCCCGACCCGCCCACAGCTCCGGGTCGGCTGGGGCTGGAGGTCGGGACAGGGCTCGCTCGGTCTCTGCCACCCCCTCTCTCTGCGCCTCCGAGCCCCCGTTCTTTCTCACTGGCTGGGCCTTTCCTGCCTCCTGAAGGTGACTTCCTTCTAGGGTTCCAGCCGGTCTTCTAGCTTTCCCAACTGTCCTTGGCCTTTCTTCCTCCCGCCCCCTTTCCTCCCTCCACCTGCACAACCCAAGCCCCTCGGTGCATCCAGCCCCGCTCTCCGAAAGACACGGGTGGGGACCCTAGGGTGGAGGGACCTTCCCCGCGCCATCTGCACACCTGTGCCCGCCTCTCCCCCCTCGAGACCCCGTCGGGGGAGGGAGGGGCAGTAGCGGGGGTCGACACCCCCCAAAACCTTTGTCTTCCATTTTCTGGCACTTCTCATTGATGTCCCTCTTCCCATTTCACACCCCCAACTTTGGCCTCTTTTAAGGGCCCGTCCGCCCCCATGGACAGATGGGGGAGAAGGGGAGGACACCAGGAAATCACCCAACCCCCCTTATTAGGGGAGGAGGGGCGAGGTAGCACAGTGTTGTACACGGAACCAGAATGCCCCCCCCCCGGGGTTGGGGGAGGGGCAGGGGAGGGACGGGGGCTTTTAGTTTGCATCTTGGGGGGAGGGGGGAGGGGGCCGCAGCAGTTAACCTGTCTTTACGCAGCGATTTTTAATGAGGCTGGGGGGAGGGGGGCCTGGGAGGTGGGGAAAGGGGTGGGGTGGGGGGCCTGGCTCTGTTATTTACCGTGTATCATATGTAAATATCGACAGAAACTTCAATAAACTTTATTTCAAACACGTCTTTGCTTGTCCAGAGGGAAGGGGCTTATAGCGCTGCAGAATAAGGTTAGAGTGGTTTTAGGGGACTTAATAATGAACAGACGCACTTTCACTCGGTCGTGTTAAGTATGAGGACAGCAAGTAACTTGGGTCAGGATTGATAAAAGTTCCCTTGGTATGACATCGTCACTCCCAATGCTGTTACTACTGCCTGCCTTTCTACTTCCGCTGCTTCCTGCAGCTCCCCCTCACATGGGCTTGATTGGCCTCCCCTGTGCAGATAGGTCCAGAGCGGTGAAGGGCTCATCCAGGATCACACAGAAATCAACAGAGCCTCTGGCTGACACAAGTCCATCCATCTGGTTCTGAACTTGACTTCCTTCGCCTTCACCAGGGAGCACTCTCCTCCCTAATGCTTGGCTCTGTCACTCTGTGGAGAAACAACTGCTGCCATTTGTTGCACACACCACAAGCCAGACACTTTCCTCCTGAACACGATCCCTTAGGCACTCACAGCAGCCTGTGTGGAAGAATTATCACTCTGCTTTTGCAGGTGAGGGAAGGAGACTCAGAAATAGGCTCCAAGCTCTATGGTCTCCCCCCACTATAGTGAGGGACTGGGAGCAACCTAGACGTTGGATAAGCTTATTCTTGAGATTGTTTTTCCCCAGTGCTGGGAATGAACCCAGGGCCTCCCACATGTAGGCAAGCACTCTACTGCTGAGCTACACACTCAGCCCCAGAAAACTTATTCTTCAAGTGTATTGGACAGGAAGAATAGGGCCAGCCCCTCATTCTTTGCCAAGTCTAAATTTAGCCTCTTGAGGGGCAATAAGAAGCACCTCTGAATCACACCACAGTTGGTGACATCACAGCCCCATTCCTGGATGAGTTGAGCACTTTTTATTTATTAGCTCTTTGGAGCTTCCCACCTCCCCTGAACTAGGCATCCCAGTCTCCCCATCTAATAGATGAAGAAACTGAGGTGCAGGGAAATGAGGTCACCCAGCTGGTAAAAGGCAAAAGAGAATCCGTGCCCAGGCACATCTAACCCCAGAGTCAAGTCTACTCGCTGCTGTAATTTATGACTACAGATCTGATGCAAACTCATTCTGTGACCTTGAGCAAGTCTTTTAATCTCTGGGGCTTTGGCTTCCTTTCCTGTTTAAAAAAAAAAAAATGAGGGGGATGGTTTAGAATGATTCCAAATCCCTCTGGAACAGGGAGGGCGGTGTGAATAGGTTCTCGGGAAAGAACTCTTGTTCAGCAGGGTCAGACTCCCGGAGGGAAATATTCTGAGTCATTTTTCATGATTCCAGGAATTTCTGAAGGTCATGCTTGAGGTTTGCAATGGCAAATACATTTCAGCTTCTTTGTTAAGACTAATTGATTCATAGTGACTGCTTGGAGCACAGTATTAGAAGGATTCTGAACATTTGCTCAGTGGGGAAGAAGTCCCCATTGATTGGTGCTGTCTGTCGTGCTGATCGATTGGTGCTGCCTGCCTTGCCTGCAGCAGGAGTTTTGGTGTTGCAAGTGCTGGATCTTTGCTGACTCTGTCTGAGACCAAACAAGTTGAAATCCTATAGCTCATGTTCTTTTTAAATAATAAGCCAAAGAAAAAAATCATTTAAAAACAAAAAAATCAAATAAAAACTTAAGCAAGGTTTTTTTTTTTAATTTTTGTTTTTTACATTTTAAAAATGGAATAGGATCCCATAAAGATTTATTTATTTTTAAAAAGTCAAGAAAAGTTTCACATTGTTTATCTAAAGTAAACCTGAATATACCAATATCGGAACATATTTCAGGAATATACTATGTATATTCAAGCATATATGCATGTGTTTAAGTTCACTTATAAGGGAGGGTGTAACATACGCACATCTACTTGACATAATGTCATTATATTAGGGAGCACATGTAGTTCTGTACCTTCTGATTTCACATGTCATGTATTATAGAGCTCATCGAGTATCAGTTCACTACTGTTACCTGACTGTTTTCCAAGAATGCTTAATAATAATCGTTTGCATAAATTAGTTGCATAATTTATCAGGTGTTTCCTCTGTGCCAGTCACTTTGTATTCAAGTCCTAAACACCTTACATTCCATAACCCAAGGAGGTTTGACACTCTTATTATCATCTTCATTTTACACATGAGATTCCAGGGCATAGAGAGGTTAATTAATTTTCTCTTGGTCACACAGCTAGAAAATGGCCAAACTAAAATTTGAATCCTGGAAGTCTCCTGAGCCTACAATGCTCCCCCACTGAGCTCTAACCATGTATAATGAAGTCTCACCATTCCACCTGTTTATCTGTGACCATTTTTCACACACTTATATTTTACACACTTGTATTATTTACAAACCATGTTATACATCAGTGGTTCTCAAAGTAGGATCCAGGGTCCCTGGGCATCCCTGGGACTCATTGAAGAGAACCACAACATTGAAACCATTTTTATGACAATATGAAGATATTATTTTTCTTTTTCATCCTTATTCTCTCAGGAAATAGTGTCTGGAAGTTTCATGATAAATCAGAACACAGTAGATTCAACGCATAGGCAGGAACCCTACTTTCCTCTATCAGGCCAAACCTTGAGTCGATTTTTAATAATATTAACCAATAACACTCTATATTTTCTTTGTATTGGAAACCATAGTTATTTTTCTTTAAAATACATTACTTAGATCAGCATGCTCTAACTTCACTATTTTATGTATCAAACACATATTTAAATTATACATTTACTTTTTTTATTTTTTATCCTCAGCACTGCAATAAAGTAAAATAAAATAAATCTTTATTTCAAACTAAGAAATGTAAAGCATGTGAAATATCCACAGCTATAACACACACTCAGGTTGTGTGTGTGTGTGTGTGTGTGTGTGTGTGTTTTCCAGGGACTTTGGCACACGGTAGGCAAGTGTTCTATCACTGAGCCCCATCCCCAGCCACAAGTGGTGTTTTTGAAGTGTGTGCAGGAAAAACATCAGGTGTAGAGGTTTATCTCACTTTCTTTTCTTTTGTGGTGCTGGGGATGCAGCCTGAGCCCGCCGCCCCAGTCCCAGCCTCTTCTTTGGATGGCTATGCAGTGGTCCGCTGTGTGGAGGTGATTTATTTTGACACTCATTCATTTCATTATTATTACATGTTTTGACACCTGATCTCGAGTTTAAACTTTCAGCAGCAGAGAGGGTGGGAAGGGGAAGGTGGCTTTGCTTTGCCACCTTGGCAATCCCAGCCTCACCTCCAGAGCAATAGCTCCCTGCTGGTGGCTTCTCCTCTGTGTCCCTGGTCCCCTGGTGGGGTGACCTTGACCTCAGGTCACATCTGGCAACATGTGGGCACATTTGGGGTGTCCTACTGGCATCTAGTGTGTGCCCTACAAGGCACTCTGCATGGTGAAGAAGGAAAAGGGACAAAAGCTGGAACCCCTGGAATGTCCAGTCAAAGTCCAGGCCCTTGGCTTCCCCAACCAGGAACTGAGCAAGACACACAGAAGTCACGAAGGTGAAGAGAGCGCCCTGTTAGGTGGAGTGGAGCAGAGAAGGCAGAGAGAGAGAGGGAGAGACCCCAGTGTCCCGAAATTAGGGTCTTATATCCTGAGCCGCGGGCCTCCTCTGCCCTGTGGGGCCTGATGGAAGACCTTACCCCAGTGGCTCCCATTGGTCACCTAGATATACCTGATTAGAATAGTTTCCAATTCCTCCTTCCCATTGGCTACTTTAGAAAAAACGAATTAGCATGCTGCCCACTTTACTTCCATTGGTCATTTTAAAATTTGAACCTGTGGCAGAAGTTGTCATGGTGACGTCCTCGTTGGTGGGAGTTGTCATGGTAATGGGATTTGTTGTAAAGCCTCCTGGTCTTGTCCTCCTGCAGCTTCCTGGCCATCCTGGTGTCCCTGAACTCCTACCCAAGAGAGGCAAGTCTGAGAAAACCCAGGCTGGACCTTGTCCCCACCACCCTTCCCACCCGGGGCCTCAGGCCTGCTAGGCCGACCTGCAGCTGAGTGCCACTGCCCCCATCTATATTGCTAAGCTGAGTGAGGAGCGGTGGTTCTTAATGTGCAGGGATTGGGGCCCTCTGAGAATCAGAGAAAGGCTGGGCCCCTAGGAAAACTGCGCCCATTCTCACAAAAGTCTGCACCTGATTTCAGGGGCTTCCCTGGAACCCCCAGGCTCTGCTAGAATTCCTTGGTTGTGTGACTTTGGAATGACCATCCCAGGGCATCGCGTCCCCAGAGACAGCACCGAGTGCATCTCCCCTTCCGAGGGGACCCGCCTGTGCTCTGTCCCCTGGAGAGGCGAGGAGGGGAGGAGGGAAGCTCAGGCCTCCCGGGCCCTGGCGCTGGAATATTTCCACTTCACCCCGAGTAAGGACGGCTGAGAAATGCTGATCATCTCCTCCGGGTGCAGCAGGAAGAGGAGCCACGCCGCCGGTTCCTCTTGAGAAAACACAAAGGCCCAGCTGCTGCTGACAAACCGCTCCGACACCTGGGGAGAGGAAGGGGACGCGGGGTGGGGACGAGGCGGGGCTGGCCGCGAGGGAGGGCCATTCCCTCCTTCATGCCCCCTGGACAGAGGTCTGTGCCCGTCCCTGGGCTGAGGGACAGGGCGAGGGGCACAGGCTTCCTGGCGTAGGGAGCGCTCAGGTTGACCCTCTGGGGCGGAGGAAGGGCTTCCACGGGGCTGAGAGAGGGCAGGCTCCAGGCAGGGGGCCACCCAGCGAGCCCCGCAGTGGGAAGGACCCGCAGGGCTAAAACCACCGTGTGCAGGAGGCCCAGGAGATGGAGCAGGCAGCTGGCGTCCGTCCGGGAGGACAGGAGCGCCTTCCACTGTCCCTGCTGGCAGAGGCGGGACAGGTTCAGCCCTGAACCGCAGAAAGTCCTTGGGGACTGTGTGGAAATGAGCCCAGAGGGGACCAGTGCCGTGGGGTGCAGGCACAGCCCCTGAGAGAGCAGGGCAAGGGAGCAGAAATGCGAGAACCCAGGAAGGAGGGCTCCTAGAGGGCCGCCTGAGGTCTGCACAGGGGCTGCCTGAGGTCTACACAG